GCAGATAACTAAGAGCTAATCTGAATTATGTGTTGCCCAGAGCAGGAGAACGTAGTTTGGTGCTCTTGGAGAACAATGCTTATTCTGCCCATGTTGGTTGGGGATAATGGAGAACGAAGTCTGGATGACAGAAGAATGACAGCTAGACAGACACTTGTAAGCAGCTTATTACTGCAGGCAGATGGTTGTAGCTGATGTGCATCTTTGGCATTTATACACCTTACAGTTAAAAGCAGTAAATGGCATCAAAATGCAGAAGTTGATCAAGTATTACATTAAAAGGTATGAATATGTGATGATCCATACACATATTTATAACATGCAATGTGTCTAATATGCTGACATATTGAGAGGATCCCCTTGTAGGTATAAACAAAGTATTGAAGATGGTCCTCCAAGACAGACCTTTTCCAGTAACTCAAACTTTATTTCAAAGACGAGCATAGAACAAAACAATTAACAAACTGTTTAAAAGTAAAAAGACCAAACAAAACAAGCTAGCAGAATACAGAATATCACTCTATTCATATCACTAAAAGCTATACATAGAATTAAAAAAATCCACAGAACTGTCTAGACATTAAGACAGAAATTAAAATTCTAAGATAGAAATTTAGATTGAAATAAAATAAACTGATATCTACCCATCCTTATTCAATATTGTTCAAGTTAAGTATAGTAACTGTACCGTAATATCGAGGGATGGGATTAGGCAGCTTGAATCTTGTTTTACTAGCAGCATAAAGAGAAGTGGAGTCCCTTAGATCAGAAAGCAGAATTAACTGTAATGGCAGATCACTGGGCTGATCTTTCTCCACCATCTGTAACTTCTATGTAAGGGTTATAAAGGATGAAAAATCAAAGATTGTCAGCCTTCAGCAGTTTAATTTACCCCTCAGTAGTTTTTCTAACACTTATGACATCAGGGCAGGACTTTGAGACTGAAATCTAAGTCATACGCCCCAGGGATGGGTTATCATTTTTAGTGACTGTAAATACACAGTACTATCTGAAAAGAGAGAAACGTAAAACCATTTACATCCAAAGTTCCTCCTAGTCTTCTCCGCTGGGCTTACATAGATAGCTCCCCTAAGATGAAGATACAGATGGCATTGAAGAAAAGAATTGCCAACAGAGACTGCAAACAAATATCAAAAGTGAACGATTAATATTCCAGCCACGTTTTGGAAATTTTAATCCAGTTTTCAAAGCAAAGTAATCATCATCTTCAGCGTTAATTCCAAGTTTGAGTCATTTGGTAAGGACAACAGTGGTTGGTTTTATTCTTAATCCAATGTATACTGTATGTTGCTCTATATTTTTCCTACGACAACCTTGTGAGGTAGGTCTGAATGTGAAGCGTCAACTAGATTAACATCACCCAGTGAGCTTCTGTGTCCAGTGGTGGAGTTGAACCCTTCTTGTCCAGCACCATAATTACTGCATCATGTTTACTGATCTCTAAAGAGGAATTGAAGGCAGACTTCTTTTATCTGGTGTCCTTCAAATGTCCCTCAAATGCATGAGCATCATTGCTCCAGCGCTGTTCAGAATTATGCAGTGATGGTGCCTGCCAGGAACTGCAGTTCTACACCATCTAGGTTAGCTTCACCATTCAGGTTATACAAATATACTGGACTACAATTTTATGGAAACATCCCCAGGGTGCTAGGCTCTGTGTGCAATGCCACATTTTGTCATTCACCAGCATTAGTGTCCAAAGGATCCACAGCATGGCTTTTAATCAAGATTATGTTCACTTCTTGCACAGATTAATTGAATGGCAAGGACCGTGAGCAGTGGTGTTAGGGAAAACACCTTGCATCAATTCACTTCACACCTCCAGGTATGGCATGGTGTATGAAGTAGAAACAGCATCTTCTATTTGCTGCAGCCTGGAGATAAATAGCCACACCTTTGTAACATGGGTATAAATCCATGGGCTTAGACTTGATGCAGTAAGTGCCCTTCAGGGTTTATTTATAAAGCTGAAGACCAGCAACCAATGAATCAATAGACGGCCTTTTCACCACGTCCCCACATCACATTACTGTTAGGACATTATATATGGATAGTCCTCGATTTACAACCATAATTGAGTCCAACATGTTTCTAAGTGAAACATTTGTTAAGTGAATTTGCCCCATTTTATGCAGTTGTTTAAGTTAGTAACACAGTTGCTCAGTGAATCTAGTTGCCCTATTGACTTTGCTCTTAAGGTCGCAAAAGGTGATCACGTGACACCGGGACACTCCAACTGTCATAAATATGAATCGGTTGCGAAGCATCCACATTTTGATCACGTGACCATGGGGATGTTGCAGCAGTCGTAAGTGTGAAAAACTGTCATAAGTCACTCTTTTCAGTGCCGCTGTTAACTTTGAGCAGTGACTAGATGAAATGTTGTAAGTTGAGGACAATCTGTATAAAGTTATGACTCCTAAAACAAAACTCCATTTCAGATAATACCCTGAGTACATTTATCCAGGAGGCAGTTTGGAAATGGTCTGACATCCCAAATTAGCCTACTGTATTGGTATTTTGTGGCAATTTCCATTCCAATTAAGCAACCTAGCCTTGGGCCGGTACTTCCACTACAACATAATTAATAAATGCTAATCTTATAACGTAATCCAAATTTCAACCATTCCCTCACAGGTACAGATAGTCTTACTTTACTACTGTACCATCCTGGAACCGGAATGTTCATCATCAAGCGATATAGTTGTTAAGTGAACTGTGTCCAAAACCCATTTTTTGTTGTGGTTAATCCCAGTGTCTTTAAGCAAATTCAGCTTCCTCCACTGATTCTGCTTGTCAGAAGCGTCCTAAGAAGGATGCAGATCACATGACTCTGCAACTGTCATAAATACATGCCCGTTGCCAAGCCTCCAAATTTTGATTACGTAACCCATGCAACACTGAAATGGTCTAAAGTGCAAGGAGTGGTCATAAGTCATTTTTTTCAGTGCAACTTTGAACAGTTGTTAAATGATTGATGCTAGCTGTTATTAAATATGCTAAAGCACATCAATTACAAACCAGGTTTTTGCATTGTCTTGCTAGTGAGATGAAGAACAAGCTAATCAGAGAACCAAATTTCAGCAATTACAAATGCTCCTTTCATGTAACAATTTAGTCACACATTTTTTACTACATTTCTCAATTACCAGTATGTGTTAATACTTGTATGCAAGCATTACCTATTGAAACATTCTGTTGTTTAAATTATGAATACAAAAAAAGGAGAGGATTTTTCAGAATTAAAAAACCCAAAACTATTCCATATATAAAATATAGCAAGTAAGAAAAGAAAACATTTTTACTGAGCTCAGAAAGCAGTGAAGTAAATTAAATGGAGTCATTGCTGCAACTTTAGAGCAACTCCACCCAGGACCTTTATGCCAAGTTTCTCAAAAAGTCTAAATGTTGTCAAAGTATACAGTATATACTTCACTTTGGTGAATGTATCTGAAAGGGCCAAAACATGACAGGAGCTGCATGTTTTTGAAGTACTCTGATCATGAAATCAATAAAAATCTGCTACAGTGCTAATATGCATGAGATTTTAAATGTAAAGCTTTCTTAGCCTCTTAAATCCATAGCCCACAGGCCAGAGTTTTATATATGGGATGAGACATCAGGGTGCTGCAGACCCAGCCTCCAGTCAGAAAACTAGAGTGCACAGCCCAATTAATGTTGTACATACAAATCAGATGATACTTTCTTTCAAATAGATTGCACTATAAATTCTTAGATTCTCCATTAGTTTCCCAAACACAACAAGCCACTCTCAGAAATTATATTAAACTGCCAACTGGCAGAGGGAGTTTGTATGGATTGATCCTTGTGCCAGGGGGAAGATCACAAAAACAATAAAAGAACAAGAGGTTTGTAAATCAAGGTAATCACTTCATTGAGAAAATTCTATGTGACAGACACTGCATTTTGCTAGCAAAAACACTCCACAAATAAGCCATAATTACTTGTCATTACATGCACCCTTTGATGGGGATGAAGAATGGCAGTAATTGAGAATACGTTGTCTTAAAAATGGAAAGTATAAGATATGTGTTCCACTTACCTCTAGCAACCACAAAATAGGGAAAGAGATCAGGAAGTATGCCTTGATCTTAGATTCATTTCTGAGCAACTGACATTGTTTGTTTAAAAACAAATGTAATTAAACTGTTTAAAACATTAAGATGCAGAAAAAGTAGAGTTTACAAGTTCATTCAAGACAGTTCATTCATTATTTTGCAGTAGAAAGTCAAAAGTTCAATTTCCTTCAGACAGTATTCAGCTGCAATGATGTAAGATACTAAACATACAGTACTTATCTACCATCTCTATTGTTTCTATGACTGAACATAGTCTGGAGTCCAGGAGGGAGGGACTATCTCAGTGGGAAAACAAGCAGTGGAGCTTGGAATATCTGGTAGGAAAGGACTCTCCCTTGCAGTTCATAGAGTATATTTATAGTTATGCAGATAGTCATTTTAGTCTGGCAAAATTCTGTCTGTAGGCAAACAATAAAGAAGCTGTTCAGAAGTCATCATTCTTGTTTTGTGCGGCCTGACATCAATCTTGCCAGACTATACTACTACTATCTGCATAACTACAAATATATTCTGTGAACTGTTTGTGGGGGGGGGGTCTGTCCTTGCTCTTTTCCTGCCTATCAGATGTTCTGCTGTTTTTTGCCCTCTGCGAAGCAGCCCCTCCCTCCTGAGGCTCCAGACTACATTCAACCACACTTCCCTAATTTATCCCAACAATGCTGTTAGGCAGGTTTGGCTGAAAGAAAATGCCAGATTCCAAACTACTTGGGATTATTGTTCTTCCTGGTCCCACACTGTGGGGGTTTTAGTAAAAAAATACACACAATCCAACATTGCAAACTTAAATCAACCACAGTTCTCCCATCTCTAGTTTTATATTGTTTTCCCACTTGTTTTTTAGTTTCACATGAAAGCCCGAGAGACTGTACCCTGGAACTGATTCAAATAATTACAGAACAAAATTTAACAGGAATTTCTTTGGATAAGTTGAGAACAAGAACAAACCTAACTACAACCATCACACAAATTAAGTGAGATATGTTTTTTGTTCTCCTTATGCAATAAAAAGGCTTTCCATATAAAACAGTACTACTGACTCTTTAAAACAAGTAAAAATATGAAAACTGAACATGGCTTTTCCGTGAAAGTTTCTTTCCTACCATGGAGAAAACTGCATATTCTTGTGGTTTTCTTATCTGATACTTTCACAATAGAATTGTTGCACAGATCTTTTTAATTTGGCTGATCTGTTCTTTTATTCGTTGCTGAATATTATCTTTATAGCATATTCCCATCCTGATTTTATAAAGTTTATAAACACTTCAGATTTACAGCAGAAAAAGGCCATGCAATATTAAAAAAAACCTACCAGCTAATATAACAGTTGGGAGTTTGAGTTCATTGCAACAAACAGTATCAACTAGGCTTTTAAAATTTAAGGAAGGAAAGTCAATAGCTAATGTTACAGCCAAATCACGTATTTTTCTTGCTGCTGATATTCAGAGCACTGGGGTACAAGAAACCAGGAACTACAATACCATATTTAAGATATATTTTCTGTATCATTATGTACAATTTTCTTTTAAAGCAGTTATACCCTGCTTTTCAACCAGAAAGACTTCCAAAGTGGTATACAAGTCTTTTATGTATTGTACGAAGTTCTTACTAGAACACTTCTAACATTTATTTTATTATTTTAGCTATTTGACACAGTGTTCTTTAAAAAAAAAACCTCTTACAATAAATAACTGTTTTTTAAAACATTAAAAGATGTATTTCTTGCCTTTTTGAATCAGGGACACACTGTGAAGAGCTGATGATACATTTCAAATCAGCTGTAGCAGATTAAACCAGAATATAAGCAACTGTAATACATAAAGTCTATGTCACAACTAAGTATTTATCACCAAATTCTCCTGATCCAAATCCTCAGAATCAGTTTATTAGTTAAAAGTGCCAGCAATTCAAGCATCTTCTAGGTTCCTTTTTCTTATCCCATTTTTTTAAAAAAATGTGGATATTTGCATAAGAGATGAGGGAGAAATAACATGAAAAATGCCTGTTTGGTTGCCTTAGTGATACACATGGCTTATCAGCATGGTTGCACTTGAACATATTATATCCCAAAAGATATTACACAATTTACATGATGATCAGGAAGAATCTATAAATAATGTACAGGAAAAATTAGCTAAAGAGCCCAAAGTCATGGCTTTACTGGTGCTGCATTGCAACTTAAAAGATTTTTTTCTACCTTTCAAATATGACAAGTAACTTGCTGAAATCCTTGATGGTCCAGGAGATTTTCTGAGATGTAAATCCCAATCTCTTTTCGCCAAATCATTTCTCTCTTGTAGCTGGTAAAACTATGCAATGAAACCCTTAAAACAACAAGGGTCAGCATTTCATCCCTTCTTACTCATTGAATGGGATAACCACCATACTAAACTAGATTCTAGATCTGACCCATTTGTTAAATCAGATCAAACTTACCATGCTTGATTTCCTAAAGTCAAAATGCACATCCCCACTTATTGCTTTGGAGGTCAAGAGAAAAGCCAGAGACCTGTAATAATTTCAGGACTGGATTTTAACACTGTCATTCACATTAAAGACCCTTCCTTTCCAGCTCTTCCAGTACAGCTTGGATTCTATGAACTGCCTCTTTCCTTGCCTGGCGCACATTGTCCTGACCACCTGTATCTACTGAGTCCAGTTCCAACAACTTCTTGGTCAGCATTTCTTCCAGCAACCAGTAGTCCTTATCTGTCTTTTTACCTACAAATTCATCCACTTCTTCTTCCAACAGTTCAATTCCCTCCATAACTTGTGCGATCTTCTGTATTCCAGGCAGCACATTAGTTGGAGGCTGTATGTTTATTTTAGAAGCTGATCCACTGTTAATCACAGATGGTTTCTTATGCACATTATCATACAGCTGGGGCTGTGCACTATACTGCACTTTGGGGTTGGAAGCAGATGGCTTAACATCAAGCTGTGTTGGATTGTAGTCATTCGTGGTCCCAGAAGGCAAATTATTGGCTTCAGGAAGATAACCATGTTGGTTAATTCCTTGATCCATTTGGCTAAAAGAGTCCTAAAGCAGAAAAAAAGCAATTTGAACAACTCTTATCAATTCCATTTCCCCCCATCCTGTCTCGAAAATGCTGTGAAAGCAGATCCCTAGATGGCCAATATTGCCAGCGTGTCTCTCTGCATATTTGTAAGATCTGCATGCTCAAGATGCCAGTGCAAAAAGGTTCTAGTACTGAAGGCCACTATGGATAGGACCTGACTTTTGAACCTGTCAGAATGACATCACAATGTGCCATGATCCAATAGCCTAAAACCTAGGTGATCTTCTCATGGGTTCTATAACACAGTAAGCAAAAACAAGAATGTAAGAGCTCACTAGACTAAGTACTTCCTTCCTCACGTACATATGTGTAAACTCAACAGCTACTACACTGAAGACTTGTAAGTTTCAAAATGAGCATCTCCAATTACTTTTCCTATTAGGTTTCTTTTTAAAACTTTATTTTATTGTTACCAATTTCTGCAATATCAAAACATTTCAACTACGATCGAACAAGATTTCTCCAGTATTCTACCCAAATGCTCTTGGCAAAATGTTTCTATATCAATACTTGTTGAATATTAATCACCTTGCTTTTTTAAATAGCTATTTTCCTCTGCAATTTTGCATCTATACAAATCTCCTCTAGATGTACTATAATAGCAATAGCAGTTAGACTTATATACCGCTTTATAGTGCTTTACAACCCTAAGCGGTTTACAAAGTCAGCATATTGCCCCCAACAATTTGGGTCCTCATTTTACTCACTATAAATAATAATTAATTAAATAATTAAAAAGTATAATGCTGTACTACTCCATTTTTTTAACATTTAAAGCCTGGGTCTGCAAATTTCCTATTAAATCAGACTTATTTCAGATAATACACCTAATATAAACTCATACTTTGTTTCTCAGACTGAAAGCCGATCAGGATATTTTTATTTTTAATAACTGTTACCTTAACTCTAGTCCTTTACACTCCACTTTCATTCTTTTTTATATTAATTTCCTACAGTATGTTAGTGACAGTATGTATTTGAAAAAAATTACATCACTTTCTTGTAATCAGTATTTTTGAAACTGTCTTAATTTTGAGCTTTTTTATTGCAAGTTAGTGACACTTTGACATGTTTATTTTAAATTAAATTACTAAATAATTTATTTAGAGTGATAGTGTTTCAACCAGTTTCAATTCTATGGTATTTTGAAGACACAACCCTAAATTTTCAGCATATTCTTTAATATTTTGCATTAAAGAATAAGTAAGTACAGCTAAACTATGAATTAGTATTACAACATTCAGGATTTTTAAATAAAACAACTGTCCCAAAACAGGTATTTATTAAACAGCTGGTAACAAGCACCATTTTAAAATTTTGGATTTTGCTTCAAGGGAGTTAGATACTGTATCCAATGGGATTCTTCCTATGATGTAGGGCACAAATCCTAAAGCAGATGAAAATGGAGTTTCTGATCTTGAATAAATAATGCACCAACCCCTTGTGTATTTCAAAGACATACCTTAGGATTGTTATTTGGGGGGTGTAGAGTAGACGCATCACTGCTAGGCCAAGATTCTGCAACATACGGATTCCCTTGCCCCGCTGGGGGAGGGGGCCAACCATAGGGAGGCTGCATTCCATAAGTGCCAGGTGTTTGCCAAGTGGCATCTTGAAGTCCTGGTTGAGGAGGAGGTGGCCTCTGCTGTGGAATGTTAGGATTGCAATCTCCATAGGGATAGGGTGGGAGCGGAAAAGCTGGGCCCTGTAGGAAAAGGGGGATACAGAGACACTGTTTCTTTAATCATCCCAGGAAAACTCATCACTTAATTACATTTACACTTAATTACATCACATTAAGACATTTCTAGTAGCAGTATTTCCATGGTGCTAATAGAAAAACAACATTCCTGTTCATGCTTCAAAGGACTGGGCCCTTTTCTGATGGGCACATCTGATTATGATCCATCCATGCGGAGTGTAATACAGCTGAGTAAGCAATGGTTTGCCCTCCCCCATTTCCTTATTTTCATGATCAGGACACACGCCAGCACTTTAGAGTAGATGCTTCATAATACCATGTGTGATCTCCCCTTCTTTCAGTATCTGAATGCTCTTTTTCATTTACTGTTTCTATATCTGCCACTTGAAAAGAAGAAAGAAGGGCAGCAATTGAAACAGACAAAATATTATGGCCTAGAAGAGGCAAGTGCCAGGCCTCCCTTAAGCATGAAAGCTGGATGATGACATTGTGCCAGCCACTCTTTACAACCAACCCACCTTGTAGGTTTGTTGTTAGGGAGAGACTAAGAGGCAGGAAGATTAGGTATGTTTGTTGTCTTAAGATGACCAAATACACATATACGCAATGATGATTCATATTAGATATTTACTTGTAGAGGGGAGTAACCTGCTACCTGCCTCCTCACCATGGAACCTTCAGCTGGACAGTCTGGAGGAGGGTAATTCCAGTTTGATGCCAATGATGGAGTTCTATATATGCTAGAAGTGTCTGTAGAGTAAGTGGCAGGAGAGCGCTCTGAAGAATAGTATGTGTTTGACTGTGGGAGACTTGGGTATGGCGGCCCTGCCCCAGGAGCTGGATATGAAGGTCCATAGGCACCATTTGTGTAGGAAGAATCAATTCCCTGGAGGACAAAAAGAGAAGCTATTTGAAATGGCTAGCCTAGCTTAAAGACAAGAATTAATTAGGATATCAATACCTTATTCAAAGACAGTTCCAGAGTTATTTGCTTAAGCAACCTCAGTAAACAAAATGACAGCTATTAAGATTTTTTGGTTCTTGCAACTTTTAGTTACGGACAATATAGAATATTGCTTGTAAAAAAGCTAAGAAGGAAGCAAAAAGACCAGAACATATTCACGCCAACAGTCAACACCCAGATAAGCAGAGATTAACACCAGCCAAACTATCAAGCAGAGAACAATGCCCTAACCAAGAAATTATCAGGGAGAAAACCACACCCCCACATTGCCAGAAGAGACACTACTAGACATAAAAAGAGACCAAATCCCACACTCACTTGCACTGATGCTACCAATTGGATAATTAAATGTTTGCAAGCAAACAACCAAGCTCAGAAAACACCAAGGATTTCGTAGCAAAAGAAACTGTTACATTTATTACTGCTTGCTTGGTTCTGCTAACAATAAAACAAAATGACCCAGTTGGATAAGATATTAAAATCACTGATACTTCTATATAAACTATTTGCATAAAACAAGAAGTCCTGTGAACATGGATGACAGGCTAATAAACAGTTTGAGACAGATTTTATAAACCGTCATTTAGGGCAAAATTTCAGGTGCTTAAGTTTTGTGCCCAGGTGACATCTAAATTCTTACACAAAATTTTACAGAGCAGAAAACCTCTGAAAATTTGTATGCTGCATTACTTAATTTGATCTTTTTAATATCGTATTATATACTACCAACTCTCAAACCAGAAGCTTAATTATTCTACAAGAAGCCATGTCCAGACAAAATGCAGTATGTTATTCCTATTACTCTACCTGGCCTTGAAGCTCTGATCCAACAGGATATGGATTTGAATAGGAAGCTCTTGGAGATGAATTCCAGTAATTGGGGGCATACCCGGGATAAGGAGGCTGTTCCTATAGGAAGAACCAATACATTTAATTTCTGTAAGTGATTAGGCTCACCTAGAATATTTCTAGAATAGTATATATAGTTATCTAACTTTTGCATTCAAGCTGAATGTCAGACCATCAGTAGGAAGTTCAACAGAATGTTGCTGGAAAATCTTCTTGCCAATCCATGGCTACCAAGCTAAATTCAGCAGTCTGCTTGTAGCAACATGTGTGATTTCTGTTGTAAGAAGATCCTTGTAGCAGAGGCGCCTCTAAAAAGTAATGGCTTGACTTGATCAACTCTTGGTGACTGTGTGGGACTACTGATACAGCTTTCTTGGCTACATTATAAAAATGGTTAGCCTCTTGTTTGAGCCAACTAGTTTTTTAACTTCACAGGGTAGTTTACCATCCTTGTATTCCAGAATTCCAGCCACCCACCAGCCCCTTGGTTAGCACGCTCTCGGGCTCCGCAGGCTCTTCAGCGCAGGTGAGTTGATTGTCCAAACAGCAGAGGCAGAGATGCGGGGGAGGGGGCAGGGGATCCGGATGTGCTGCGCGGCCGCAGGAAAGCCGAGAATCTATGGGCCAGGGGTTGTGGGAGGCTTGTCTTTGCGCAGAGGCACCAGTAAGTGGAGGCAGAGCCACTCGGCTTCCCTGCAGACTGTCCAGTGCATCCAGATTCCCTGCCTCTGCTTCCGCCTGCTGCTTGCACAAGTACTCAACTCACCTGTGCTGCATGGGCTGCTGCTACCAGGTATCATTGGCCCGCACACACTTGCCACCTCCTATACTGGCCACGCCTATCCCCTTCACTAGGGCTTATTTTTGGGATAGGGTTGATATGAGGTGTGCACGTCAAAAACCAGGCTGAAGCTTATTTTCGGGGTAGGTTGTATTTTCGGGGTTGGTAATATTTTGGGGAAAATCTCTCTCTCTCTCTTTCTCTCTCTGTGTGTGTTTGTGTGTGTGTGTGTGTGTTTGTATTTTAAGTGGTGACTGGCAGACAGGCAAGGAAGTCTTGTTTTATTTATGACACATTAAGACTCATAACCACTGGCAAAAATAGGATGAGCACACTGTAGAAGACTTCCAGTCTTTTCAAGGTTGTATCAGGAAATGCAAAGAGCAGGAGCTTCCTTTTTCATAATGCAATTTATATTTATATGAACACACAGCTATGACTAATAACAAATCTAAATTTTATCTGCAAAAATCAAATCCTGGGAGGCAGGTGAGTGAGAGGATCAGAGAGCAGGTGAATGAAGTACTCTGCGCTACAATACATCTAGTATTACATTTCTGAAATGCTTTACAACACCTTAAAGCTTAGCTCATTTGTTGGGTGATCTTTACCATACACAAAGAATTGGAAACTCTTGTGGTGTTAGGTAAAAATGGCTACATATTACATTCATGGAAGGATATTATAATATCTGATAGGAATGATCTGGAAATAGTGGATATATAGTAATGGTTTCTTCCAAGCAATGACTAGAAAATCTGTAATCTTCAAATGGTAAGAGCTATAAATAAGGATCAGAATAACCAATATGTATCCCAACAATACCTAAACACAAACTTAAAATGTTTAGGCACACCCCAGAGTACAATAATCTAAAATTTATTTAAGATTCAAATAACTCACTCATACTATATCTTTAATTTTACTTCAATTATATAACAGCGAGTCCGACAGTAACACTAAATCCTCTAAAAAAATCCTAGTGGCATCTGAAAGACCAACCAAATTACCGCTGCATAAACTCTTGTGGATGTCCATTTACTCTTATAGATTTTGAGACTGAGCTGTATTTTTTAGAAATGGAAAAGTTAAGGTGCTGCACGGAATATCAAGAATTATAAGTAGATACAGATAGAAAGATCATAAAAATACCATCCTCCATTTCTCAAGGAAAATAGTCTCAGCTACTATCCATTTTTCTTTAACCAATACAATTTATGAGACTCCTTAATGAATTGCTTAAACTTAGATATTTTGCACTGGTAATTTTAACCATCAGTAGTAAAATATCAGAGTCTTTCAGGACCTATTTCACTGATTGAGCTATTAATTTAAGTGGTATCAAAACACAATTTGAAATAATTGTTTTTACATTTTTAATATCTGCTGATATTTGTGATGCACTAAAATAACATTGGTAAGCCTATGTATGTTTAATTTAATAATCATCTGGGCAACACCTTTTCTTTTACACTTACAGACTATTTACTGAATGGCTGCCAGGACTGACTAACAAAAAGCAAGCTTTATCTTAAATCTCTCTTCAGCAAACGAACTAATTAAAAAATTTTTCCTGATACTCTTATAAAGAAATCTATTCTATTATTCACAACCTATCAAACTGTCCAAGAATTTATAGAATGCAAATATAGTTTGTCATCTGTCCTCAATGTGATTTAACTGGAGGCATACATATTTAATTTCTTAAAATTCCAAAAACTACAATATTTTCCCAGAACAGGAAGTTAATAATTAGTGAGTTAAAACATTAGTGAGCTTTAAAACACATTAGTTATTTCTATTCCAACATTAAAATAAGGTGTCTAGAATTATAGTAATAACACTGTATTGCTCTACTTACATTCACTAGTTTCACTAACTAATGCTTAAGGCTATCTCATCTCTACTTGTCTAAATGTTGTAAGCATTGCCTCCTCTCAGCAATGCCAAATGTTTGTACTAAAACTAATCACCCAAGAAATAAGAAGGAATTCAGATCATAACCACTGCTTGTTAAGAATTTTCTAAGTGTTAAAGTGTATTATTAGACAATTGTTCACAGTTTAAATTTAGGATTTCTTTGCTCTTCATTCAGAATCTTTATAACTTTTGTAAATCCTTTATTGTTACAATCTCAATTTTTAAGATGTGAAAAAAACTAGGGTACAATAAACTAAAAACAGGTGCTTCAAAACAGCATCTTCTACACAATACTACCACAATTCCACTATGAACTACTTTAAAAAAAAAACTCTATTTGAATCTGCTTCAACATTTTGATGACTATGAATCAAGTTCCAAAACAGAAAGCAACTACCTTAAAAAGCAGCTAAGAGCCAGCTAATCCCACCCAGGCTTTGAAAATAAGCTGTATTTGCCAGGTAATATAATGATCAATGAAAGAACCTTCTAGGAATACAAAACAAAACATTTTAAGACATTTAAACAATTTCTTAGAACCTACTTTCATGACACAGAATTGTTAAGAGAGCCTGGAGCTGTACACAGCCCCAAAAGAAAAGATCAAACAAAACAGACTTGCTTTATGTTTTCCCCAGATTTATGCAGTAGTCCCTCCCTTCCATGTTATGTTAGCCAGCAAGTCTTTTTCCAATATAGGAAAAAGCACTCACCAAGAACATTTCCTGAGTCTCTGGGCTCCTTTTCGAGAATTAAAGTCTATACGATTTTCCTGGGGAGAGACAAGGATGAAAAATTCTAGATAGGAACAAGAAGAGGATTTTTCATACAGGTCTTACCATTTTTTCAACTTCTAATCAATCCAAGGCTCCCCCCTCCCCTCTTTTTCTGACTTAGCCGAACCAAGGGAAGGTTTTTGTTATGGCTCAGCTCCGGCAAGCGTGCACTTGAAGGAATGCATCAGACTAGAGTCAGCTAAGCAATCATTAAAACAAATGAGAAGGGAAGGAATAACGAGGGGACAAAACAGAACCGGCTTCGTTTCACTTCCTTCTCAGAGTAGACGCAACAAGACTGGACAGAGCACGTGGCAGCACTTCGGGGGAGGGGGAAGAGCAAAGGAGACGCAGACGGTGGCCTGGGGCGGTCAATTACGTCATATAGCGTTAATAAATGAGAGAGAAAATAGGGTATGGACTGGGCCGTTACCTGGGAGCCGCCCTGAACCGCGCTCTGCCCGCTGCTGCGGTGCTGGGCACACCTAAATGGTGCCATGCCCCACAACGGTGGGGGAGGCTCCGGTTCAGGCCGAACTCGTTCCACTTCTGTTCCGCGTAACCTCTTTAACGTCGCCGCCATTACGGACTCTCAATTAGTATTTATTTTCCCCCCCTTGTAAAGCAGTGCGCCTGTTCACCAAGCGACCAATCACAACGATCAACACACCTCTTCGCCTTCGATTGGCTATTTGCGATATTCCCGGATGTAGGGAAAGCGGTAGGGTTTTGCTAAAGAAACAAACGCTGCTGCTGACGTCAATAAGTGGGGACCACTCTCCAACGTCACTGGGAATGTTATCCAATCAGCTAGTCTGAGTTAGAAGAAACTTTCAATTAACTCTTAAAGCGCCGGGGGGAAAAAAGAGGAATTCGGATTTTGTTTAGAGCCAAGATGAGAAATTCCCCTCCCCCCTTTTGTCATTTGTTATTTATTTTACATAGCAGGATTTACCTTCAAACTTTATTTCGGAAGAGGAATATTGTCATGGGTTGAGCATGGTTTATCCCACAAATAACAAATTTGGAGGGCCAATGGAGAGTCCCCATCAAAACAAGATTGGGGACAAAACAGAAATTAAATAATATTGTATAGGTACTTGAAAGAGAATTTTGAACGGGGATTTTATGCCCAGGAATATTTTTATATTATTTTCTTTTAAATAGTTTTAAAATATAGATTGTCTCTACTGTACATGTACTGTACATGTTAAGGACATTCAGCAGGCTTTCAATTAACCGAGTTTGCAGTAGTATTTGAAGCCATTTTGACCGTTACATATATATCTGCGGGAGAGCAGGTTAAGAAAACTGCATCCAGTCAAGGCTTTCTTAGGCTGAACACAATAGGACAAATGGCATACAAATTTTGCCTTCTATTTTATCCTTAAAATGAGTAGCATACAAATACTGTACATATCTTTACATCAATGGTAGACCAGTGTAAATAAAAATCACAATAATAAAATAATAGCAATAATAAAATCTATGCGATACAAATAATACCTAAAATTTAGGGTTATAAGAATGTAATATGAAACACTATTTTAAATAAGAATTCTTAGTTTTTGTAATACTGTTGAAAAAGTAAGAATATAAAACAATAGAATAGAGCCAGTTTGATGTAGTGGTTAAATTCAGCTCCCACCCAAAGCCAGCTAGATGACTTAGGGCCAGTCCTTCTCTTAGCCCTAAGGAAGTAGAAAATGGCAAACTCCTTGAGAAAACCATGCCGAGAAAACTGTAGGGACTAGTTCAGGCACCATTTGGAGTAGAATAATATAAGAGCAAAATGATAAAATGAATGTGCAATTATAACCCAAGGTCACCCAGTGATCTTCAGGCTGAGTTAGGATCCTGCAAGCTTGCATATACATCAATTTTAGAACTGGGATCATAGCATCCTAAATGATTTATTGAATAAAACACATTAGGTGAACTCTCACGTCCTACAGACCAGAGTATAGCAGGCTTTCCACAGCAAACCAGGTTTTCACGTAGTTTACTGACCCCGCTGAAGCCCAAATCCCGAGGGGGGGGGGTAGGAGCTCCTGACCGGCGGGCGCAGCCGAGATCCCTTTCCGATCCCGTCTTTGATTGCGCTCCAGCCAGCCGGGCGCGGCCGCTTCCGACCCCTCCGCCCTTCCCTGTCCGCCTATTTAAGGGTCGAGGCCGGCGCTGCCAGACTCACTCCTGGGAACTCCCATGCGCACCAATTCGCCGCCGGGCACGGGTCCCCCTTTGTCTCCCCGCCCCGCCGGAGCTTGTGCTTCCGGACCGGGCGGGGAGAGGGCAAGAGCAGGTTCCGCTTCTCCCAGGGCCGATGCAGGCGGCGGAGCTTCCGCTGCGTCCGGGGAAAAAATGAATTATATGCCGGGCACGGCTAGCCTCATCCAAGATATCGACAGTGAGTTGCTTGCCGGGCCCCGCCTCAGCACGGCGTCCCTTGGCGCCTGGCGGGTGGCTCCTTGCAAAACCAGCCGGTCTTTCTCCTTTTCTCGGGTTTTGAACCAGCTTTCTTTCCACTTCTCTCCTCTAGATAAAGCCTTTGCTTTAGGAAATGGCACTGCACTAATTTAAGCTCCGCTGCCCTACAACCTGGCTGGCATGCACGCATGCATGCATGGCGGCAGCAGGCAGGGGTAGGGCCATGAATGCGAAGGGGGTAAAAAAGGGGAGAGACCCCCCTTCCCAAAAAGAGAGGCATGGAGCGCTGCGTTGTGGCTGATTTCGGTTTGAAGGATTTGCGGCTGGCGAGCGTTCCGTATAGTAGCAGGGACACCTCTCTCTGTTTTGGAGGGTGTGTGGCGGATACCTTGGCACTATCTTCCTGCTTTTTTTTCTCTTTTCTGCCTTGAAAGTGGCTTGTAAAGGCTTTAACTTGACTTGCGGTGGGCTTTGATCAAGTTAATTGAAATCATTGTTAATGGGATAAGCTACAGTTGGGGAGTTTTGCACAATACCCTAAGTTGTAACCCATAGTTTCAAAGCCACTGGTGAATTTTTACAAAAGTTGGGAGGGTTGAAGCCTAAGTTTGTTTCCTACCTACCAGAGACATTGAAACATAAGTCAACCATGTTTTACACTAGCAATGTTTTCATGATAGTTTCCTTCAGTGATACGTTTGTGAATGGCTTTTAAAGGCAAACATCCTTCCAATGCTGGTCAAAAGATAACCCCATTTTAGATATATTCTTACATAATCACCTGAACCACAAAATAGCTGGTTATATTTTTAGACTAGCATGTTGCAGTCCATATGGTATGTTTATGCTGCACTGTGCAAAAGAACTCCTGAACACTGAGCTGAGTAAACCATAGTTTATGGTGTGTTATAAGCATAAAATGTGGCAGACTGTTAATACTGTAAAATCCAACATTTTAAAAATGGTGTGAACTAAGTTTTCAGTTAAGTTAGAACGAATGAGGAAGAAAAAGCAAATTCAAGCAATGAAAATCAAATCCAAATAGGTTAATTGGATTCCTGCACCTCTCTGCTTGTACAGTGAATCTGATCATTCTTTATAATCCCAAATAGCAAACCTAAGCGACAAGCATTTTTATAGAAAACAACACAGTAAATATATTTTGCAAAACTCCAAGGCTCATAGATTTTCAGAACTAGAAAAGCAAATTAATGAGATTTTCCTCTCTTTTTTCCCTCTCCAGAGAAACACTTGGTCCTCCTTAGAGATGGCAGAACACTGATTGGATATTTACGCAGCATTGATCAGTTTGGTATGGCAAACCATTCTCTTTTCATTTATGTACCTTTTGATGGTCCTTCACTCAGCTAATATTTTGCCAAAGCCAGTTCAAAGAAAAAAAAAGATTGAGGAAAGAACAGGGAGGAAAAGAAAAAAAAAGGTGACATTTTATTTTGAATGTACTTAATAGCACTTATTGCTGACAGAGTATAACTATATAGAATCTGTTTGGTGTAATGTGAAGACATCAGGAGACTGTGAATTTTAGTCCTGCCTTAGACGCAAAGCCAGTTGGGGTTTCTCTTAGCCCCAAGAAGGAGGCATCGGCAAACTACATGCAAAAATTTTGCTAAGAAAACTGCAAGGATTTGTCAATGGCATCAATGGAGACCTGGCATCAAAACTGATTCAAAGAAGAAAATGTCAAAGACATTCCTGGATTAAAATCAAAATAAATGATTGGGTTCTTAGGGTACCTTCAAAATAAGTTTTCCAGCAAATAATTTTTTATTCTGCCTTTGCTGCAGGAATTCAAAGCAGTGTACATGGAATTCATTCCTCTTTTTTTTTTTTTTTTGCTCCACAATAACCCTGTGGAATTTTGTTTCATGGCCTCTGGGGAAAAGCTAGGGTTCAGAAATCATCCCAGGTTCTCCCAAGCTTAGTTTTCATGCGGTATTATTGTTCTAAAGTCTAAACCATCAGATGACCAGAAAGATTGGTCAGAAATCTGAGTATTTAACATCAATTAATAAAGCACTGGATTAGTGTGAGATGGGGGAAGAGAACTGCATTCCAATACCCTTTTTTTGACTAATGTGTGTGAACATCCCCAAAAATCATATCACTGGAATGCAGCAGCAAATAAAAACTTATTTTCAAAAGCAGGAGTGACTTTTGAGAGGCAATCTTCTCCCCTTTAAAATCTGTACCCGGCCTGACTTTATGCTACTGAAATTCAGCTGCTTTGCTATGGAATTTGATTTTTAGCTGTTAGCTGTTAATTCAGGCTTTTACGTACATGTATACATAAAAGTCCAGCTTGCTGCTGAATTCTGCTGTACCGCTAGAGGGTAGCAAATGCTACAGAAGATCAAGACTTAGGCATGCTTCTAATTGGGTTTAGAGAGCTTCACTTGGACAATCTGATTGTAAGAATTATAAAAGTAGTAGTTTCTGTTCTTAGATTAGAAGTGCATTGCTATGGGATTGTTTATCAAGCTTGTTTTTCTTCGTGCAGATGGGAAACATCTGTAAAAAGAAAAATAGGCTCAGAATATCAAGAATTCAACAATTCAGCTCTGAGCGACATATAATCCCCAGTATTGTATACTACTATTTTAGAGCTTAGGCTAGTTCTGGTATACTAAGAATTGAACAAAAATAACAAGAGCCAGGATTGACCCAACTCTCAGATTTAATTTAGAAGTCTGTATTCTTTGGTAGAGGCCCAATAGGTCGTCCTCCTTTTTCTCTATTTTTATTTTTTGTTTTCTGTGCTGGAGAAAGTTGGAAAGAAGTTTATATAAAGAGGCATGGGACTCTTTATTTGTACGTCTTTAAGCAGTATAATTGTCTAACAACTGAATAGAATGGAACAAAATTGGGTGCAGGATGAGAAACTGCTAAAAGAAATACTGAGTTTGAAAATGGATTAGAAAAAAGGGGACTGCAGAAGAAAAAGACTTCCTGTGCGTCTCTGTGATATTGGTCAACGGTTGAAATGTTTGCTATTGGACCATTCTAAGCTGCTATGGGCATAGGATTTAAGGCTCTTCCTGTGTTTACCTATGTAAGCATCCCCACAAATGGAGAGCAAAACCCACAGAGATGCAACATATATTTGTTTACATTTACAGAATAAAATGTTGACACTGTACTTCTACAGACATTATCAGCAAAGGACTTGGAAAAGAATTTCAGAAACCATGTTCTGTAGGGCTTCCCTAACTTATTCTTTAATTTATAGTGGTTTGTAATCTTGGTGGGGTTGACCAGAGGAACAGAACTGAAATAGTATCTTGTGCCTATTTTCTGGAATGAAAATAAGTAGTGGTGTTCATATATTTCTGTGGCCTGATGTTAATATTTGCTATATGGTCATGGAGCAGAAGTCTTGAAAGGTTCTCCAGATGTGGGATTATTAAATAATGCTTGTCTGCAAATAATCAAATCCCACTAGTGGTTGGGTAGGCATACCATTATTGTTGCATTTGACCACATCCTTACAAGTAAACCTACAAATAATTGCAAGTGAGCCTGTACTGACGTTGCGGTTTGGATTTAATGCTGAAAAATGTTTTGGGATAAGCACACATGGTACATCTATTGGAATCTCCTTATAGAATCTGCAGGTTTTGTTTTGCTGGGCTTACACAGTAGTTGTGCAAACCCAGGAAAATCACACCAGTTAAGGAACACTGACATGTATATTTCAAGTACCTTGTTTCATCTTTCACTGTCTTCATAGGTCAAATCAGGGTGGATTTGATTTAAATCAAGTCGATTTAAATCATAATTTTTAAAGAGCAACTGTCATCTCTGTCCCACGGCAGCTCCTCCTCTGACCTGCTGTTGACTCACTGACAGTCCCAATATTGCAGAGTATACAGCTTCATGCTACATAACTAAGCTCCATTTCATGCTGAATAAACTAAATTATTAATGTATCTTAAATAGAAAACTATCTTTAGATAGATTTTTAACTCCAAAAGTATTTTATTAAGATAAATTTAATAAAAATTTAAAAATCCAATTTAAATTTTAAAAATCAATTTTTTTAATCAATTTTTGTCCACCCTGGCTCAAATGCATTTTTTAATGGCAATATATTGTATGAGCCCAGAGAAAGATACAACTGCTTAACTGCCAACAGATGTGGATGCATCTCAGTTCCACTTTGCAAAATCTTTTTGGCTTCAGATCCAATATGTACAATATAATTTTTTTTCCTGAACAATGCCTAGCATTCTGCAATTTCATGCTGGCCATATAGGGCAGCAAGCCCCCGACCTACATCCAACCTGGAAGCTGATGGTGCCAATTTGTTTGTAGGTTAGTCCCTTTTGGGCTGAAAGAATGGGAAACATTGTTCTGTTATCAGCATGTTTATTTACACATATGGAAATCCTGCACATCTTTGGCTAGCAGATGAATTAGACGATAGAGTTTGGATTTGCATACCTCTGTACAGAATAGACTTCCTGTTGGAAAAAATGAGGGATGTCAACTATGATTTTGATTTTGCTATGCATATGAAATTCTGAAGAAAGGCAACTTACTCAGTGAGAAAAGCATAGAAAAATAGACAGTTGGGATCTGCAACTGAAACAATCACTAAGTGAAACTATGCTGATCTTCCTTCAGCTGTCCTTTCCTTTACAGACCCGAAAAGGTCATTAATGCAGAGGCTGGTTGTAAAGTTACTTTTGCATCTTAAACACAAACAGTTGCTAAACGAGGCAGTAACTAAGCAAGGACTACCTATGGTATATGCTTTCTGATTGTACAGCTCTCCAAATGAACCATTATTTGCTAAGACCTTATTTGTAAATGGCCACATTTACTTTCATGATCCTATAAGCTCCTGATTACCAAGCTGAGAAGCTTTTGTAAATGGCTTGTTAACACCTTTAAAAAATGATGGATTGTTCTCAGATCACCAAAATTGAATGCTGGAGGTGTGTACTCTTGGATTCACATGAAAATTTAATTCTGACTTAACATGGAATGTCACTCCAAGCTATTTTGTTTATGACTTATTGTATGAACTGTGGATTATTTAACAAACGGTAGTCAAGGGAACTCTGATTTCAAGCAATGTGTAAACAGACACTAGTCTTTCCTGACTTTCATTTCAGTACCCTAGAATGCAAGTACAACATTTCCTGTCTACAACTGTTTACCAGAAAGTTAGGGGTCATTTTTTGCCTTGTTGCTGGAGAGCTGAAAGCTTGAGATGGTCCTTTCTGCCTGTGTTCTCCTACTGTTTGTGTTAACATTGGAAGTGTTGAATAGGAATATTAGAGAAGATAAAGAAATAAAAGGAATGAAAATCCAAAAGGAAGAGTATAAATTACAAGCTTTTGCAGATGACCTGGTATATTAGAAGACCCATTGGAAACAGCACCTAAATTAATAGAAAAAATAGAAGAATATGGAAAAGTAGCAGGTTTGAAAATAAACAAAGATAAAACAAAGATACTAACAAAGAATATGTTAGTAAGACAAAAGAAAGAGTTGGAAGAAGTTTTAGAAATACAGGTCACAAAAAAAAACTTGAGTAATGCAATGTAAGTTTGAGAGGTCTTTGGTGCTCTCTGAGCTTGGCTGTTTTTTTGTTAAACACTGATGATGTTATCTAGTTGGGATAATGAAATGTTTACAAGAAAACAACCAAGCTCAGAGAGCAAAAAGCCCCCCTAATTTCAACCCTGAGCTACAAATATTCTCCTTTATTGGGAATATAATATAAGCTACATATATGACAATAGTGTGTTTTTTAGGGACATACCAAAAGAAAATGAAACACCATCATGTTTGTAAAACTATAAAGGACATCTAAAGAGTGTAAACTATCTCATTGAGTTGTTGGATGAATAAAATAAGGTGAAGATTCACTTCTTACCTGTTGGAAGAAAAACAGAGGTCTCATAAGTGCTAAATAGAAACAATGCTTCCAAAGCCAGACAACAAAGAGGAAATATTTGCTAATTAGTATTATTTGCTTACCTCTTTGGAACGCATTGCACAGAAATGCAAAGGTGGAAGATTGCAGACTTTTCCTTTACAAGCAGCCACACATTTCATCACTCTTTCCATCTTTGTTTCTTTCTTTCCTTCTCCCTGAACTTTCAGCAAATCTGGTTTTGCACCAAACAGTGGAGCGCATTCATGTGGGCAAAAAGTATGGTGACATCCCTCGTGGCATCTTCGTAGTCAGAGGCGAGAATGTTGTGCTCCTGGGAGAAATTGTAAGTCAGCAACTTGTTTTTCTTTATTCAAAGAATCACAGGCCTTGGAGCGGAATTCTGGGAGTTGAAATTCTTACAGCTTAAAGTTGCTATGGTTGAGAAACATTGCTACAACTTATTTGATATTAGCTGACCTAAATTGGGATTAAAAGCACTTGTAGCTTGATCTGTCTGGAGATCATAAGGTTGCAGAAAAAAATAGATTTTTTAGGAGTTTTTTATTTTTTAGAAAGGTAAAGGTTTCCCTGTCCAGTTGTGTTTGAATCTAGGGCATGGTGCTCCCCTCTGTTTCTTGGCTGTGGATCCAGCCAAAATGAAGACATTTTCAGTGGCCGTGTGTCCAACATGGCTAAATGCCAAAGGCGCACAGAATACTGAAATGATACCTATTTATCTACTTGAATGTTCATGCTTTCAAACTGCTAGGTGGGCAGGAGCTGAGGCAAGGATGGGAGCTCACCCTGTTGCACAGAGCTTGGGCCTCAAACTTGGGCTGTCAGCTCTCCAGCTGACAAGCTCAGCATCTTTAACCGTTGAGTCATCCCTCCACCCATTTTATTTTTATTATTTATTGTATGATAAATTGTATCTTTCAGTGATTTTTTTAAAATTGAGAATTGTTTGATAATGTAGTGTAGAACAGAGGCACTGAACATACCTGTACAAATTCACAGCATATGTGTTTTGTGTCTCAGAGGGAAGAAACAGCAATTTCTTCCCAGTTTCAAGCCCTGAAATATTGACTCTTTTTCTACTGCAGGACCTGGAAAAGGAAAGTGATACCCCTTTGCAGCAAGTCTCGATAGAGGAAATCTTGGAAGTTCAACGGGTAGAGCAGCAAACGAAGCAAGAATCAGACAAGTTAAAAATGCAAGCGCTGAAGGAGCGAGGCCTGTCCGTTCCAAGGGCTGATACATTAGACGAATACTAAGTATTTACCTGAACTGTCTCCCAAAGATTGAGGAGACTGTGTACTGAAGTGCCCAAGAAATGGACAACTATTTTTTTTATTATTATTTCAGATTCCTTCCCCAGTCCAGAAAACGGTTGGATCACCATGATGTAAACCGTAGTTCTTCCCATTTCACGAAAAATCATTTTTGAAGATTAAATATAATCCAGCATGATGAAGCAGCTGTAAAAGAGAAGGCTGGTTTAGGACATTTTGTTTATAATTTTTTTAAATACAGGAATGATTTCTGGAAGAAGTGGGGAAATAACACCCTATAGCCTGTAAATAAAAGGTGATTCTAAGCACTGCTGTAAGCCAAGGTGAAAGCACTACTGAGAATTTGTCTTTTTTGGTCAGGGCACTTTTCTAGGGGGACAGAGAAGTGACAAAAAAACATTTTTGTCTTCTGAACTGGGCTGATGGAGACTTTAAAACCCTCAAATAGGAGGGGGAAGGTTTGACAGGAGCATCTGAGTTCTTGTTTGTGAAAAGTTCTTAATGGCCTCTGAGCTCGATTGTTTGCTTGCAGATGTTTCAGTATAGAACCAGGTAACATCATCGATGAAGATGTAACATCTGCAAGCAAACAACCAAGCTTAGGTAGCACCAAGAATTCCTGAGCTACAGATATTCTCTTCTATTTGCTTTTATCTGTAAGATTGCAGAATGAGAATTGGAAGAGACCTTGGAGGTCTTCTAGTCCAATCTCTGCTCAGGCAGGAAACCCTGTACCATTTCAGACAAATGGTTGTCCAGTGTCTTCTTAAAAGCCTCCAGTGATGGAGCACCCACAAGTTCCAGAGGCAAGCCATTCCACTGATTAATTGTTCTCACCATCAGGAAATTTCTCCTTAGTTTTAGGTTGGATGATTTTTTGATAAACTTCCATCTGTTCTGCCCTCAGGTGCGTTAGTGATTAGGCCATCCCCTCTTCTCTGTGACAGCCCCTCAAATATTGGAAGACTGCTATCATGTCACTGCTATTCTTCACTAGACTATATGTACTCAGTTCCTGCAGTCATTGTTCATATGATTTAGCCTCCAGACTGCCAATCATCTTTGCTGCTCTTTTCTGCACTCTTTCTAGAGTCTCATCATCTCTTTTGTATTGTGATGACCAAAATTAAATGCAATCATGCAAACAGCCATTGACCAGAAAGCAAGGAGTAAGATGGTTCCTGCCATTTCTTCTAGCTCCCAAGGATGATCCCTGTTAATTCAGTTTAGTCTTATTTTCTTGGCAATTGAGCTCACTTTCAAACAAAGGCAGGTTTCTTTTGCTTCCCTTGCTGTATCCTGAGAAGACCCGGGAGCACTTTAAAAAACAAGAGTAAATACTAGAATTGACATGTCACAGCAGGTCAGTGTCTCATTTGCTTTAAACAGTGTTTTAAACAGTGAAAAAAAAATAAAATAAAAGCCGGGTGAGGCAGAGATTTAGCAAGATCCAAAATTGATTTTACGTGGAAAAATTGACACTTCCCCATGCAGTCTGTTACTTGACGCAGCATTGTTTTCCTTAAGCAATGCCCAAGATGTGACCCACAGGGCAATATTGATGGCAAAGGACCTTTTGGGGTTGAGATGGGAGGGAAAATTCTTTTTACAGGTTTTTACTGCCAAGCAGCAGGCTTGTGGTATTCTCTGCTTCTCAATTTAGTTTAATTTAGCTGATGCCTAATAGCCCTGAATGCCTCCTGAATGGAACGGGAAAAGATACATCAATAATATATAAGCTGCTAGCGTGGAGTCCTGCCTACTTTTGCCTGTGATAGTTACAAACATACATCCACAAGTTAAAAAAAAAAAAGTCCACAGGGGGACCTCTCATTCTGACTTGGTGTATATTGAAGAGATTCCCTGTAGCCACAGACCTCAGGCTGCTGTTTTAGCCTATATGGTAACTGTAGGTTTGTTTGTTTCTGTGCCCAAACAAAAACAGCATAATTCTGCATGCAATGGAGCAGAATGTATCTATTTCCCCAAATCCTGGTTTTTGTCTTGCAAATTGTGCACTTCATTTACTTCTCTCCCTCTCGAGAGTATAATGCATTAATTTTCCCTCTTGCCCCTTGTCATTTCAAATTAGTATTTGTATTACTATCATTGTATTTAAGGGCTTCAACTTTAAAACATCCTAGTTCAGACTGAACATGCTGCTAATTCATTAACCACCCATTGAATCTATAAGGACCCATTGAACTATCTACTCATGTTTGTGAACCAGCAAGTTCATAATAGGCTTGATCGGTCCCATATCTAGCTAGCTATCCTCAATTCATTCCTTACAAATTGGCCTATTGTTCAAGATCTCACTGGTATCTATAACACCTTCACAGCATTGTAGGAAAGGTGTGTTAGGGCAACCTGGCTGTGGAATTCTGGGAATTGAAGTCCACACAACCTCAAGTTGCCAAGGTTGGGAACGCTGATCCATGGTGGTGAAAAATCAGGAAGAGCCTGTTAGTACTTTTTCTGATTTAGCAAATTTTGTTAAAAGCACCTGCCTTCATGATGCATAGATTGGCTAGACTTGTTCTTTAGAATATGATGAGAATATCACAGAAGTAAACACATAAACACAATTCATGCAAGTATATACAAAACTTGCACAGGAATATATGTCAGTGGCCTCATAACTGTATGTCCAGTTCCGCTATTCAGGCAATTGCCTCTCAGTTGTTTCATCAGATTTTCTAAGGAACCAGGGAATGTTCATTCCTGGCTAGATTTGATACTGGCATCTTGGACTTAACAACAGTCCGTATAGTGTAGTGGTCGCCAACCAGTGGACCGGGGACCACTGGTGGTCCATGAGAAAATTTTGGTGGCCTGCAGAGAAATGTCACCCCCAAAGCACCCCCCCAAAGTTTAAAAGACCCCCCAAAGCAATTAATCCAGGCTGCGTGGGAACACAAGGTTGCGCTGCCCACATGGCCTGTGGGAATACAAGGCTTGTGTCATTTGCATTGCAAACAACGAGGTAGTGAGGGTGGGGGAAGGGCAGAGAGGGGGAACTTGCCCCACTCGCCTGGCCTGGCCACCGGGCTGTTGCTTTCCGCTTCTTCTGTTTTTGTCTTCACACAAGGAAAGCAGCAAGTCTTTCTTTCTCTCCTCGAAACTCCACCAGAAATGAATCTTTGATACCCTGCAAGGCCTCCTGCTCCAAGAGGCTGCACCGGCAAAGACTAATTTCTGGCAGAGTTTGGGGGAGAAAAAGAAAGACTTCTGCTGCTTCTGCTGCTTTCCTTGCATGAAGCCAAAAGTCTCTCTCTCTCTCTCTCCCTTCCCCGCCTTGAGAACAGAGCTGGAGACGGTATCCTGCAATCCCAAATAAAGAATAATCGATTGGTAGGAAAACGGGATGGGGAATTTTCCTGCAGACTTTTTTGGGGATTTTCCCAGGGTCTCTGGTCTGCGGGATTTAAAATTATGAGTTTGGTGATCCCTGAGGTCCAAAAGGTTGGTGGCCCCTGATTTAGACAATGTTCAAAGTTACGAAGGCATTGAAAAATGTGACTTTATGACTGTTTTTCACAGTTACGACCTTTGCAGCCTCTCCATGATCATGTGATCAAAATTCAGCTGCTTGGGAAGTGTTTCATACTTATGACTGATGCTGTTTCCCAAAGTCATGTGATCACCTTTTGCAACCTGAGAAGCATAGTCGATGGGGAAGCCAGATTCACTTAACAATCGGATTACCAATTTATCAAGTGCAATGATTCACTTAACCACCGTGGCAAGAAAGGTTCGTAAAATGGGGCAAAACTCACTTTTAACAAATGTTTCACTTAACAACAGGAATTTTGGGCCCAATTGTGGTCGTAAGTCGAGGACTACCTGTACAGGATTAAACCTAGGAGATTGCTTTCATTGTGTCCCTGGCTTGGAGCTGATGATGAAGGGTGTCCTTAATCTGCAACCACACTAGTGTCAAAGTAGCACCTTCCTCTTTATCCTGATGTCTGCTAGTAGCCTAAATGTCTATGACAAATTCTAGGCTTTTGCCATTCATTATTTTGGAGAGGAATTGGGGCTGACCAAGAATGGAGACAGGATAGGGGTCTCCAACATGGAATTTAATGCCATTATTATTTTGTATTGACTTAATAACAGGTCCAATTTCAGTACAAGGGTGAAAGCAGAGGTGGTATTCAGCAGGTTCTGACCAGTTCTGGAGAACTGGTAGCGGAAATTTTGAGTAGTTCAGAGAACCGGCAAATACCACCTCTGACTGGCCGCATGCCTATCTATTCTCTTCCTCCCGAGTCCCAGCTGATTGGCTGGGTCTTCTTTGGTTGCCCTGCACAGGAGAATGGAGCTGGAAAGCAGGCTAGTTGGGTGGGGAGGGAATGGAGATTTTGCAATATCATTCCCCTGCCATTTGCACCAAGCCATGCCCATTGAGTCATGCCACGCCCACCAAGCCACACCCACAGAACTGGTAATAAAAAGTTTTGAATCCCACCACTGGTGAAAAGTCCTCAGACTTGAGTGGATGAAGCATAAATGGGAAGATCCTTCAATGTGCAATTAAAGTCAGAGTTATGGGGCTTTCTGACACTAGTAGACAGACCGTTATAAACTTGAGTGTGCGCCTTTATGCAGCCGTTAGAGCAGGGGTCCCGGACCTCCAATTCAGGGAAAAAGCTCCATGGAACCGGTCCCTGGTGCCCAAATGTTTGGGGGCCATTGCATTGGAGCAGAGGTCTCCATAGTTGGCAACTTTAAGACTTGTGGACTTCAAGTGCCAGAATTCTGGGAGTTGAAGTCCACAAGTCTTAAAAGTTGCCAAGTTTGGAGACCCCTGCGTTAGAGAGCCAACCTTTGCTTGCCCAAACTTTCAAGCCCTTCCCTGCCAAACTACATTTCCCAGCATGCACCCGAGAACCATTTTTTTTTTTTAAAAGGTGGGACGGAGGCGATTACATAAGTCTTTCGAACGTTGACACATCGGAGCCCTCCCCCCCCCCCACGCCGTGGGTGGCGACGTCACCAACTCCGAGCCCCGCCCTCTTGGAACGTTTTGTAGCCAGCTTGCTCGCGACGGGCTCTTTCTAGTATCCCTGCTATTTCCTGCTGGGACAGAAAGATTCCAGAGGTCTTGCCTTTCGCTTTCCACCCCCTCCTCTCTCTCTCTCTCTCCCCGCTCTGCGTCGGCGGGAAGAATTCCCTTTGAAGTGGCTTTCTCCCTTTTGGGAGGACCCCCCCTGATCGGTACTTCTTTGGGCGGCGGGGGGGAAGGCGCTAGAGGAAGGATCGCGCGCCCCTCAATTTCGCCTGCTGCACATCGACCGGGGCTGAGCCTTAGCTAGTTTTCCCCCTGCCCCCCTTCCCGGGCATGCTTTGCTGGACAGGAGGGTAAGGGGGGGGGATTTTTTTCCTCAGCGCTGCTGCCGACCCCCTCCGCCCGCCCCAGGCGAAGAGCTTCACCGGCGCCGGAAAGCCGAGGATACGGCTGGCGGAGGGGGGGGGGGGGGGGGGGGGGGGGGGGGGGGACGGGGGACGAAGGAGCGCGGCTAAAGAGGATTTCTTCTCCTGCCTGGATTTGCATTGCGGCGGTTGTTCCAACGGTCGGGGAAGAAGATCCTGCTTCCCCCCTCACGCCCTGCCGGGTCTCAGTTCGATCTTCCTGCGAGCAGCCTGCGAGCCAGCGCTGGGCTGGAGGGATGTGATACCTGGAGGTCCAGGATGCTGGCGGCCTCTTTTTAAAAAGCCGGAGGAGAACATCAGCCTTTCGAAGTACGACTGCGGAGGAAACAGCCGGTTCTCCCCTCCAGCACCTTGATTTTCTGGTCCGGTTTCTCCTCTTCCCACCCCCTTCCCTCCTCGCCCCTCTGTTGTTTCCCTTCGGGATTCTGCCGCACCGCAGCATCTTCCAAGCTGGAGCACCATGGAGCTGGAGAACATCGTAGCCAATACAGTTTTACTGAAAGCCAGAGAAGGTAAGAGAGTCGGGCAGCCGAAGCGAGGCAGAAGCATAAGAGTTGTTGGGGGGAGGGAGGGAGGGGAGCCGGTGGCGGTTTCCGAAGAGCGTCGCGCAATTTGAGTAGGGGAAAAAAGTTGAGCCAGCGCACCCACTTCTGGCCGGCAGATTCTCTGAATGGAGTTGCCTTCTGCAAATGTGTTAAGGAAAATGAATAATTTGTAGGATATTTGCATTTTTTTTTTTAAAAAAAGAAGAAAGCCTTGTGTGGCTGCCCTGGAATTTACACAACTCTTCCGTCATCTCCTCCTGAGTTTTATTTCCACAATGCTCCTGCAGGGTGGGTTGCTCTTAGAGGTAGAGAGGGGTCCATCGTCACCCAGTAAGACTGGCATCAACATTTCAACCATGATTCTCACTGAACATCCCTGCAATCATAGAAGGGCAGCCAAAGGAATAGATCCAGAGTTGTGGGCTGCTGGTGGGGGCAGAGAGGATTCATTTGACTTTGATGTGTTGACTTCATCTTAATGATATTCATGGATATGAATTTATGAATTATAAAGTTACTTTGAGAGTTAAATCCAAAGGGATATATGCAGTGCATATTTTTGAAAATTCCAAACGGAAGTGCAGTATGTTAAAAATCTTTAAAGGTAGTTGCTATGTTCTATAGGTGTTCTATAAGTGAGACTTTAACTGACTAACAGGTTCTTAAACATACACACATGCTCTTTAGATTTGCAGGCTTGTCAGAAATGCCCTGGCAAGATGCTACAAAGAAGTTGTTTTGCGGTGAGATGGGCAACAAATAAAATATGTAAGAGCGTGACTTTAATAATAGCAGTGATGATGCTGTAGCCTTTTTGATGAGCCATAAAATCGAAGAGCGAGTTTCATTATCTTTTAAAAAATGTTTTAAATTAAGAGCATTGGATAAAATATTGAATTTGTGTCTGGGTCTAAATCCCAGTTTATTGATTTATGCACAAAATGCTTAGCCTTTATTTTACCAGTGGGAAGGCGAATTGCCTGTTTGGAATGGTGCCAAAGATCAGAAAATTAAAGGCTACAAAATTAATTGTTCCAATAGGAGAGAATATATGCGGCTCAGAGTTGACCTGTGGAGTCCTTGGTATTCTCAGAGTTTAGTTATTTTCTTGCAGACATTTCATTACACGACTTGTTAACATAATCAGTGCACTGATGTTACCTAGTCAGATAATGAAGCATCTGCAAGCAAACCACCAAGTTTGGAGAGCACCACAAAATAGTTAGTGTTCTAAAATGTATTTTTCACTATAAACATCAATTTTATGCTGTTGTCTCTGTTAAGTAGATAAGAATAAAGAAGCCTACAGTATCTTGTTCAGAGCTGAACTCAGTTCCTGTGTGTGGCCAAGATTGAGATGTCACATGTGTTGCATTTCCATGGTGTGTTGGGATATCTCTGCTTTACCCAGATCAGTAGTTATATTCAATTCTTTCTCAGCGAGTCTGAAAATGTCAAATAAACAGCAGCACGCTTCAGTTCAGTATAGACAAAAATGCTCTGTGTGTATCTTCAACAGTGGTTGTTGGGGTGTGGGGGGGGGGGAATCTCAGATGCCATTACGTGTCAAGACTGCATTGCTGTTTATGTGAATGAGTAAACCACAGGGTGGCCTTTAGAAAGGAAAGCCCAGACCTGTACTTTCAAGGCTGCTGCAGTTGTTTTTCAGCAAGGTCATGAAACTTTAGGGCAAGGGGAGCAGGCCTTTATTGATGGGGGCAGAAAAAGCAGAGAGACCACAGAAAAATACATGGTATAGGGTAAGAGTGTACAACCTTAGCAACTTTAAACCCGTGGACTTCAACTCCCAGAATTCTCCAGCCAGGCTGGGGAATTCTGGGAGTTGAAGTCCACAGGTCTTAAAGTTGCCAAGATTGGACACCCCAACATAGGACTCATCATTTACAAGCTACAAAGGCATACAGGTAGTACTCAACTTATGGCCACAATTGAGCCCAAAATTTCTGTTGCTAAGTGAGACAGTTTTGCCCCATTTTACGACCTTTCTTGCCACAGGAGTTAAATGAATCACGGCAGTTCACTTAGTGACATGGTTGTTAAGTGAAACTGGCTCCCCCATTGACATTGCTTGTCAGAAGGTTGCAAAAGGGGACCCCGTGACCCCCCAGGCACTCTGCAACCGTCATAAATATGAATTAGTTGCTGAGCATCTGAATTTAGATCACGGGACCATGGGGATGCTAACAATGGTTGTAAGTGTGAAAAACAGTCATAACTCACTTTTTTCAGTGCCATTTGAACAGTCAGTCAATGAATGGTTGTAAGTTGAGGACTACCAATACTGGGAGCTGCTTTGCTATAATTTGCTGTAAACTTTACACTACTAGATGAGTGGATGGGGCAATTAGGCCTTCTCAAGAGAAATTGGGAACTCCTTAGCTCAATTTCTGGTCCTACAAGAGGATAAGAAAATATTTCTTGAGAGGTTTGAATGAACAACACAGGAAGACACAATTGAGTGACGAAAAGCTATTGTCCTCACATGCCCTTTTCTTTTGTTAAAAAAAATGCACATACACAGTTGCTGAATTCCTAAGCCCTTTGTAATTGTCAAAATGTTGTAAGTTAGCCTGGGAATGATGAGTTTTGTTGAGTGGTTACAGCCCTTCAGTAATTGTGATGTTTTCCCCACTCCTTTCCTTAAAAGCCGTAATGTCATCCATATGTTGATAAGAATCAGAATATAGCTGGAAGGGTTCTTGGAGGTCTTCTAGTCCAGCCCTCTACTCAAGCAGGAGATCCTATACCATTTCAGACAAGTGTCTGTCCAGACTCTTCTTAAAAACCTCCAGTGATAAAGGACTCACAATGTCTGAAGGCAAGCCCTTCCACTGGCTAATTGTTAGGAAGTTTCTCCTTCATTCCACGTTGCTTCTCTCCTTGATTAGTTTCCATCCATTGTTTCTTGCCCCGCCCTGTGGTGCTCCGGAAAATAAATTGACCTCCCTCTTCTTTGTGGCAGCCTCTCAAATACTGGAACGCTGCTATCATGTCACCCCCCAGTCCTTCTTTTCTCTAGACCAGCCTGCGACTGTTTTTCAAATGTTTTAGTCTCCAGGCTTTTATCCTCTTAAGTTGCTCTTCTTTGCACTTTTCCCAAAATCTCAACATCCTTTTTTTTCTAATGTGGTGACCGGAACTGGATGCAGTATTCCAGATATGGTCTTACTAAGTCTTTATAAAGCGGCACTAATACTTCACATGACCTCTCTTTAGAAAGATAGAAAAAAGTAACAGTTCTAGCCGACCCCAGAATTAAAGGCACCAGAGTGGAAAGGTTTGGGTTTTTTTGACCCTCTTGTAACTAGGCTGTATACAGGTTGTCCTATGGCCACCATTGAAGCCAGAATTCCTGTTGCTAAGCAAGGCAATTTTTCAGTGTGTCACACCTGACTTTACAACTTTTTTTTACAATGGTTGTTAAGTGAATCACTTAATGGTTGTTAAGTGAATCATTGTGAACTAAATCCGGCTTCCCCCATTGACTTTGGTTGTCACAAGGCTGCATAGTCTGCAAATGGCGACCCTGTGAACCCACGATGCTGCAATTGTCATAAATATGCTGCCTTTCCAATCAGCCAAATTCTGATCAATTGAACGTGGGCATGCTGCAACGATTGTAAGTGGAGGGATAGGGTATACCTCACTTTTCCCCCCCACAACTTTTGTTAGCTTCAAAAGGTCACTAAAGAAATCGTTGCGAGTCGAGGACAACCTGTAATTCTATTTCCAAAAGATGACTGAAAAGTGAAAGTACATCAAAGCAATTTTACAAGAAAAAAATAAGATCTTGTTTGAGCAACATTTTGGACAAAGAAGTGATGCACAAATGTTGCTCAAACAAGATCTTATTTTTTTCTTGTAAAATTGCTTTGATGTACTTTCACTTTTCAGTCATCTTTTGGAAATAGAATTACAGGTTGTCCTCGACTCGCAACGATTTCTTTAGTGACCTTTTGAAGCTAACAAAAGTTGTGGGGGGGAAAAGTGAGGTATACCCTATCCCTCCACTTACAATCGTTGCAGCATGCCCACGTTCAATTGATCACAATTTGGCTGATTGGAAAGGCAGCATATTTATGACAATTGCAGCATTGTGGGTTCACAGGGTCACCATTTGCAGACTATGCAGCCTTGTGACAACCAAAGTCAATGGGGGAAGCCGGATTTAGTTCACAATGATTCACTTAACAACCATTAAGTGATTCACTTAACAACCATTGTAAAAAAAGTTGTAAAGTCAGAACTGATTGTTTAACTCCCATCCCCTTTGGACTTTATGGCTGTTCTTCTTAAATATGTTAAGCTTCTTTTAGGAATATTTGTGTGATTCTTGCCTTCAAATAGAAGAAACTCTAGAGGCATATTTGATCCTGGGCTTCAGGTTGCTTTCCTCTATTCTTCTTCAACCCTGGCACATTTTCAGATGGAAATTGCCCTCCGCTTACAATTTAAATTTGAAGTGTTCTTCATATAAGTGATATAAGTGGTCCTTTTTATACCCATGCTTCATTTTGTGACACTAAGGTGTATTCCAGAATCTTGATCAATGTTCCTTAATCAGACAAGTGGATTCTATTGTTTTGTGGATGTTTCAAGGCTTAGTGGATTTTTTTTTAAAAAAGCAGGAATCTCCATGCTTAAAACAGCATTCACACTACATGTCTGCAGGATGCATGCTCTTTCCAGCATGTCTGTTAACATTTAAAACAATGAGGCTATTTGTCTGAATATACATTAGCGGAAAGCACACTGTGTACACTTTAAAATGTCTCAGGATAAAATGGATGAAGAGAACAACGATTACAAAATGTGCAATTCCATAAGTCCTAGATGGTTATAAACATCCTCAATTTTCTCCAGCAATTTTTGGAGAGGTTAGAAAGGAAGAATCTACTAGATATTACATGGGGAGAAAGTCAGAATTCTTTAACTTTAATTTGTTG